TGTGTGCTTTTGCCTTGTTTTTATATGACTTCATCCTCTGGATTTGGTACATTTGTCCACTTGTTTTTATTTATTATATTTTAATTTCATCATTTGTAATCATCCCATCCTATGTTTAGCACGTTTTAATCATCTTTGGTTTTGCGCCAATAAACTCTCACTCACTCACTCACCCACCCTTGCTGATCAGAAGGTTAAGAAAAGAGACTGCGGAGAAGCATATATGTATTCTTCAAATCGCTGGATATTTTATATTTTTTTATGTAAATTTAGGGGGATGTGTGTTCTTTGAAGCATAATTCTTGTAATGTATTGAAATAGGGTTTGTACGGTCCTTAAGATTCCTTAAAAGTCCTTAAGTTTTTTGGAATCGATTTTTGGTCCTTAAAAGTCCTCAATTTCGACCAAAATTGGTGGAAGGTCCTTAATTTTAATCATCTGAAATTTCTGTCTGTTTTTACGACTGCCATTTTGAGTGTGAATTAGCATTTTGGAGGAATATTTTTGGTGCTTCGCTCACAAATATCATTAATTTTTGAATGGGTGAATGTGTCCATGGGTTATAATTTGTTCCTATTTCTAATATAAATGTTGGGATAGAGTTTCTGATCAAGATGTGAAACATAAGCATTTTGAAATTATTTAATTTTTTTCTAATGAAGAGCTCTAAAAGAACTTTTCACTTTTGGGGATGTGCATTTTTTTATGAAATGGCTCTTTTTGGCGATTTTAAAATCTGTTTCTATAGAGAATTTTTTATTCTGAAATCTGGGAATTTTTCGATGATTTTTTGAGAACATTATAACATTGATTTTGAATCTGAAAGGCAAGGAAGGTATAATGCTATAAAGCATAATTTACAAAACAGTTCTTAGCAAAAGCAAAATAGCAATGTAATTAATTTAAAATGTCTTTTTAATTTTTTCATGGTAAGAGTTTTCCCAAGTAATTGTTTCAGAATATTCAGAATTCTCAAAATATGCATAACTTTTCTCTATAAAATTAATTTTACACATTTTTTACCCTCTGAATTTTTTTTTCAAAATATTTCTGGCTTTTTGCTGTTACCGAATTGGTAGAGGTAATTTTTCTGTTAGGATTTTGGACATTGTAGCTTGGAAAGTTTAGAAAAATTTGAAGGCAAGATTTATAGACCCACGATTCACGATGTGTCACTAAATTCTAAAAATTCTACCAGACCATATATATTTCATAATTCTTTTGAATATTAGAGATAAGAAGTAGTTTATGAGGCGAGGAGAAGTACGATTGTACTCATATGCCTAAAGAAATAAAATTAACAGCTTTTTCTATACATTCTAAATGCATTTAGTGATTTTAGAATAACAGAAATCTTTAATTAAATCCAAAAATTCTAAAATGAAAAGGAGACGTGGAAGAAAGAAACTGAATACATAATGAGAAAGAAAATTATTCTTCAAAGACGTGTACAGATATTATCACGTAAATTACCTAGTTGTTTATAATTTCAGTCTTTACTATAATTTCCCATTTATATTTTCTCACCAGAATGCAAATCACTTAGACAGTTTGTAAACAGAGATTTTTGGATTTTATGATGAGAGTGTGTTTCTGACCTCTCATCATAAAATTTTGATAATTTGATAATTTTCTCATCATAAATTTCTCTTTGCATTATTTCCTGCCAGCTCTGATAATTTGTAATTATTCGTCTTTACATTACCGCTGCTGACATTTGAATTTGTTATTACAATAGAGTTACTGAGCCAGCTTAAAATGAAATTAAATTGTAGTATAGTCTTTGATCACTAGTCTATTCTTAGTTTGAATTTGATTCTTATTGCTTAATTACATCACTACGAGCTGTAATTGATTTTGTTAGCATAAGAACATATCTGTATGTTCTAAGTTCTTTTTAAATAAGAAGCTTATTTAAACCTTTGTCTGACTTTGTAGTTACTTTCAGATATAGCGACAATTATATATGATTTATATATAATATTTCAGATATAGCGACAAGATATGTCGGGTAGGGGGGTGGATTATTTAACTTTTACCGGATCAAGTACACCGTCATACGTACATTATGCAGAGGTTGACAAGGTTAGGAGATTAAAACACGCAGAAACTAGTGAGAACATTGGTCTTGCGTAATTGAGGACAAATTTCTGAACTGATAGAAAAATGCTTAAAGAGAAGGAAATCCGATATAAATTAGCCTAAAATGTCTGTGGCCAGGCTTCAAATTAAAAAGACGCTTAAATATTTTGTTGAGTGTTGTTGTTATAAAACATAAATGTTTTGTCGCTTTTGATGTATAATTATCTTAATATCATTGAAGAATCAATGGCATAAATCGCATGTATTTTAAAGTGTAAAATTTTATTAGATTGTGATTTTAATAGGGACTTTTAACTGTATTGTTAAAAAATAGGTAAAATTTAATAGTGATCATGTAAATCCATAATGACTAAGGTTATCTAAATACCCTAATTTAATTTATAACTAAGCTGCGTACCCTTAACAATTATCTGTGCATATTAAAGTGAGTTATTGCCATATTAACCCTTACCATGGTCACAAGATTAAACACAAAAATGTAAAAATTCATGTAAAACCTATTCTTCACATCTAGTGAGACTTAAAATATATAAACAACTTATCACCTCTGGTGCTTTAGTTGATTATTAGAACCTTAAAGTATTGGGTTGGCAACTAAGTAATTTCGGATTTTTTTTAGAAAATCAAAGACAATTTTTTCATGGAACTAAATAACTTTATTCTGTAATGTATTGCCCATTTTGATCAATGACCTTTGCCATCTTTCAGGCAGCATCATAATCCCACATTCATAAAACTTCTGGTTTTTATTAGCAAAAAACTGAATCAGGTATGATTTGACATCATCATCATCATTTTTGAAATTTTTACCATTCAAGGAGTTTTGTAAAGATCGAAACAACAAAGTAATCAGATGGTGCAAGGTAAGGACTATATGGTGGATGTGGCAAAACATCCCAACCAAGCTCCAATATTTTTTGCCTAATGACCAAAGTTGATGTGTGCGACCTTGTATTGTCATGATAGAATACAATACCTTTCCGATTTGTCAATTCGAGCCACTTTTCTTCAACTGCATTGTTTAATTTCGTTAGTTGTTCACAGAATTGATCATTCGGTTGGGTGGTAAGAGATCAAAGTAGACAATTCCTTTGTAATCCCAACAAACTGATAATAAAACCTTCTTTTGATGAATATCAGCTGGTTCACCTAGCCTGCTCCACGATCTTTTCCGCTTGATATTGTTGTAAACAACCCATTTTTCATCACTAGTTATCAGTCGTTTTAAAAATGGATCATTTTCATTACGTTTCTTTAGCAAATCGCAGGGTTAATGCGTGCGTTAAATGCGTTTCGTTCAGTTCGTGAGGAACCCATGTAATCGAGTTTTTGAACATAGCAAATTTGTTTAAGTAATTTTCAATGCATGTATGTGATACATGAAGCTTCTCTGCAATCTCACGTGTTGTACTGTGACGATCCGAATCGATTATTGCTTTGATTAGGTCGTCATCAACTTCAACTGGACGACCAGAGCGTTTTTCATCTTTGAGTGAATAATCACCAGAACGAAATTTGTCAAACCAATTTTGACACTGCTGTTCTTTTAAGGCTTCGTCACCATAAACAGGACATAGCTTTTTATGAGCTTGCGATGCGTTTTTCCCTTTTGCGGAAATAAAAAAGCAAAATATGACGAAAATGTTCCTTTTGATTTTCATTTTTCATTTTTCAACGAACGCCAAACGAAAACTACGCAAACCGATCAAAAAACTTTTTTTTTACTGATTGACAGCTGAATTGCCACTATCAAATAACAAATGTGTTTTACATTTGTACTACGTCTGCAACCCTAAAAATTCAACTGAAGCCATCTATGAGTGAAATCCACAATTACTTAGTTGCCAACCCAATATATTAACTGAGTTACAACTCTGGAACTCTACACAAAGCTATGACGCTAACTGCGTCAGACAGAGCCTAGCTGACTTCCAAAACTTGCAAACCATGCTTACATCAGGCCTTTCAGTTTTGCTCTGATCAGCAGGTTTCTCTCTAGGCAAGCAGGAGAGATGACAACAGCCAGTCTTTTGTTTTGAATCAATCTGATTATGATTTTACTTCTCATTTTAACCTGTGCCGCTCAACATAAAATCTACTTATTATTTACCAAACCTCTAGACTGATCAAGTATGTTACAAAATAAAACATTAAAAAAAAAAAAATCAACATAAAAGCTAACTGTTAGTAAAGCCTAATTAAAATGTCACTTATCTTTCTTTCAGATATGTCCATAAAATTCATAAGTTTCATAAAGTTTATTTAATTCTCAAACTTATTAATAATTATGTTAATTACGTTATGTTTAATAATAATGCATTCCACTTACAAATCTATTTTATTTTTAGGATGGTATTACAAAGTAACGTTCAGGCATAGATACTATTTTCAATTGAATTTATTCAGTTCCCTTTTGCTCATAGGTCCTTAATTTTTTCCATTAATGGTCCTTAAAAGTACTTAATTTCCGTGTGCAGAAATGTGTACGAACCCTGTTAAAGACTGAAGATTTTCAAATGGTCATTCATTCAAATTAACATAAGCCTGAATTTTCTCTTTAACTTCTCTGATTCTAAAGTAATATGTAATTATGTTATATAATGCTTTATTACTTTTAGTTAATATTTTAATTGATTACTATTTTTTACTTACGTGTGTGACTGTAATTTTTCCCCCCTTGTTAGATATCTTAAGCAAACAAAAATATGCTAACAAGGAAAAATTTCAGAATTATTTACTGCATTTTTTCAAGGTAGAAATGCTTGACCATGACCTTTCTTACCTGAGTGTTACAATCTAATCTCATGATATGAAATTGAACCGTGTAACCAAAGTAATTTATTTGTTTCCAATAACTCTTTAAATTTTATTTATTTTTGGATTTGTTGTTTTAACAGGACTCTGAAAAATATGTAGAACAGTTATTAGAATTATTTACAAGGTTTAGTAAACTAGTCAAGGAAGCTTTTAATGATGATCCCAGGTTCCTAACATCAAGAGACAAGGTATTGCTTTTATTTATGTTATAACTGAAAGCATATTGCATGATAATAAATTACAGTCAGATTTAAGCCATTCCCCTCTGTGAAATTACTTTAATCTAGTGTTAAATAAATAAAAAAAAAGTTTATTAAAAAAACACAAAATGTCAGCTAGTCTACACAAAATCGGCAGAAGGTCCTTAATTTTAATCATGTGAAATTTCTGTCTGTTTTCACGACTGTCATTTTGAGTATGAATTAGCAATTTGGAGGTATATTTTTGGTAATTCACTGATAAATATGGTTATTTTAATGGTTGTGATTTGTTTCTATTTCTAATATAAATGGTGGGATACTCGAGTTTCTAAACAAGAAGTGAAACAAGTATTTTGAAATTATTTCACTTTTTCTAATGAAGAGCTCATAAACACCTTTTCGCTTTTGGGGATGTGAATTCTTTTATTGAAAGGCTATAAATTTGGCGATTTTTAAGATCAATTTCTGTAGAAAATTTTCAATTCCAAGATCTAGGAATTTTTGGACGATTTTAAACATTTTAACGTTGATAAATTTCATTAAAAGGTAATACATAAATTATAGTTACAATATATATATATATATATTAATTAATTAAAAATATCTTTTTTTAATTTTATCCTGATAAGAGTAATTATTGTCTTATGCACTTAATTGTCCAAAATATTTAGAATTCTTAGAATATGCATCAGTCTTCTCTATAAAATTAATTTTACACTTTTTTTTTTTTTTTCCCAAATATTTCTGGCTGTTTGCTGTTACAAAATTGGTAGAGGTAATTTTTCTTCGAGACATTAGACATTGCAATTTAGAAAATTTAGAAGGATTTGAAGGCAAGATTTATACACCCATGATTCCAGAAAATTCTAGAAAATGTGACACATAGAAAAATATCTGTATGGTATTATCACATAATGGATGTATTTTACAGAAAGATTGCAATGAATTTCTTACTTTTTGGAGAACATTTGGAAGAACAATGAAAACATAATATTTGAATGTTTTACTTCTGATACTAGAATCTTTTTCTTAACATGTTCATCTTCCCTTTATTTTCTCTACTTTTCACTAGACACAAGCATGGAAAATATTAAAAATGCTTCTAATCATATCACATTGACAGGCATTATAGAAAGGAACTTTTTGATTAATAAAGAAATTTAAAAGATAAACCTAATATGTCTTAATGCATGATACACAGGTCTGACGCTAGCCATTGTCCCACCTGGTGCAATCACGTGGAACATTAGTCCTACCTGGTGCAATCACGTGAAACATTAAACTTATCTCTGTAGATCCAAAATTTTGCTGACTAGTCCCTTTCAAAATTCTGCTTCCAGTGCCTGCTCTAAATTCTAAAAGTTTTTGCCATTTCTAGATTTTGTTGCTCGGTGTGTCGCTAAATTCTAAAAATTCTGCCACACCAGCTGTGTAACTGGCTCTTACCATATATATTTCATATTTTTTCTGAATTTTCATATTCTAAAGATCAATTAGCAGTTTTTCTATACTTCTAATGCATTAGTTTTTTAGAATAACAAATCTGTAATTAATCCAAAAATTCTAAAATGAAAAGGAAGCATGTTAAAGAAAGAAACCGAATACATACAGAGAAAGAAAATTATTCTTCAAATATATATGCAGCTACAGTAGAAGTTCAGAAATCCGCAGAGGTTGTGCGGATTTTAGAATTTCAGGACAGAAAAGATAAATCATGATATTCAGACTAAAAGTGCAAAATAAATGAGGCATATTAGATACATTTAATTAAATTATTATATACATTATTGCAATAACTTATTATATGCATTAAATTATTATTATATATATAAATTGATTATACGAGGCCATCCAGGAATAGATTACGTTTCCGTCTGTGTCCGCTAGGGGCGGGGCTAGCGCGGCCATCTTGGGGTCAGAGCGTTGCGCAGCTCAGTCTGCTTCTAGCCTGTGCTAGTGAGAGGTTCGTGCGGTGCTCCGTTCAGATACTGTGACGGTTTGAAATGTCTGCGTTAATTGAAAATCCCGCGAGCTGCGAGGTGCGCTCAGTAATAAGGTTTCTGACTGCAAAAAAACTGTAAACCGATGAAATCTATCGGCAGCTTCGTGAAGTGTATGGGGACAACATTATCACTGAAGGTGGAGTGCGTCAGTGGGTCATAAGATTTCAAAATGGCCGAACCAATGTTCACGACGAAGATCGAAGTGGGAGACCCAGCATAGTGACCGCCGAACTTCTCGAAAAAGTCGATGCTAAAGTCCGTGAAAATCGAAATTTCACATAACGGAACTTTCTTTGAGTTTTTCCACAAATTTCGCGAAGTTTGTTGCACGAAAATCATCAGCGAAAAGCTTGGTTTACCACAAGTTTTGTGCAAGATGGAAGGCAAGAAGAGGTAACGAAGTGGTTGAAGGCGCAGGCGGCCGAATTTTTTCGACGAAGGAATTGTCCAAGCTCGTACATCGCTACGATAAATGCCTTAATTTGTATGGTGACTATGTAGAAAAGTAGTATTTGAGTGTGGCTTTCATCTGTATATAATAAAATTTGTTTCCTATACTTTGTTTATTTTTTTATTCCAAAACGTAATCTACTTTCTGGATAGCCCTCGTATTATTCATTGTATTATTATATGTACACAGCGTCAACGTTTGCCGATTTCGCCTCATGCAAAGATTTCCGTTGTTAGAATCACTGTTGCTGTAAAATTTCAACAGCTTTCCTTTATTTTTTGTATATCATACACAATCGTATTGCGATTCCATATGATTCTGCTACAAACCGAGGAATAGCACCTGCTTCCATCTTTTGCAGAATTTGCACTTTTTTGCGTTACTGTCAATGCAACGTGTTTACGTTTTTCAATGTTGCAAGCAGTAAGATCATGAGTGTGTTTTTTATCTGTAATTGTATTAAAAAAGGCTGAAATTTAAAATATTCTTAATTTTTGCACAAAATATCCGCATAAAAAAAAAGAAGGCAGGACAAAATAATCTCGTGAAATAACAAAGTTCAGAAAATACAACAACGTGAATTGTGAACTTGAAAGAAGAGTTGAGTGAATCGTCTGCTTTTTCGATGCAGATGAGAAAAAAACTTTTATTATGATGTCAATAATTTGGTATTTCATTTATGACTCATTATTATTCAGTAATTATGAGGTCATTATTCGGTAAGTATTTTTCCTTCGATATTTCGTACTCAATGTTGCGGTTTCCGGAACCTATAAACTTAATGTTTATACTTTGAAAGGCAACGCGGATTTCAGGAGTTGGCATATTTCAGGTCGGCGGATTTTCGGTATTTGACTGTATTATTATGTAAATTACCCAGTCGTTTATAATATCAGCCTTTACTATGATTTCCCGTTTCGATTTCCTCCCCAGAATGCAAATCACTTAGGCAGTTTTTAAACTAAGTTTTTCTGGTGTATAAGACAGAATGTGTTTTTAATCTCTGCTTACTCGCTGCATTAGTTCGTACCAGCTCTTATAATTTGTAACTTTTTTGTCTTTGCATAATCGCTGCTGATATTTTAATTTGTTATGACGGTAGAGTAACTGAGCCAACTTAAATTTAAATTAAATTGTATAGTCTTTGAACACTAGTCCACATTTTTTTTTTTTTTTTTTAATTTGACTGTTCTTGTTTAATTACTTCAAACTGAATTGATTTGGTTATAACAACATGCCTTTAAGTTCTTTTTAAATAAAGAGGCTTATTTAAACCTTTGTCTAACTTTGTAGATACTTTGAAATGTAGCGATAACTTGCTTCATGCTGTCGGTGGTTTTTGAACTACTTAACTTTTACTAGATCAAGTAAACCCTCATAGGTACATTGTGGAGAGGTTGACAAGTTAAGAGATAAAGCAAGCAGAAACTAGTGAAATTGACAGAAATTTCTAATTCTAGAAAAGATGCTTAAAGAGAAGGAAATCCATATAAATTAGCCAAAATGTCTGGCCAGGCTTCAAATTAAAAAGCTATTTAATTTTGTTGTAATTTGTAATTACAGTTTAATAATTTGTAAATATTTTGTTAAGTGTTGTTGCTACAAAACATAAATGTGTGGTAGCTTTTAATGTATAATTATCCTAATATCGTTTAAAAATCAATGACATAAATCGCATATATTTTAAAGTATGAAATTTTATTAGATTGTGATTTTAATAGGGCTTTTTAACAATATTCTTAAAAAATAAGTAAAATTTAATAGTGGTCATGTAAATCCATAATGACTAAGATTATCTAACTACCTAATTTAATTATTTATAATTAACTGCTTACCCTTAAAAATTATCTCTGCATATTAAAGCGAGTTATTGCCTTTCTTTAATCCTTAGAGTGGTACAAGATAAAACACAAAAATGTAAAAATTCATGTAAAACTAATTCTTTGTATCTAATGAGACCTAAAATATACAAAACAACTTAGAGTCACCTCTGGTGGTTTAGTGGCTTATTGGAGTCTTAAAGTATGTTAACTGGGTTACAACCCCTGGAACTCTAGCAGAATCGTATGGAACAAGGAGCTATGATACTAACTGCAACAGATAGAGTCCAACTAACTTTCAAAACTTGCCATATGTGCCCACATCAGGCCTTTCGTTTTTTTTTTTTTTTTTTTCCCCTGATCAGCAGGTCTCTGTCTAGGCAAGGAGCAGACAACAACCAGTCTTTTGTTATAAATCATTCTGATTATGATTTTACTTCTCATTTTAACCAATGACGCTTGACATAAATTCTACCTGCTATTTCCTAAACGTCTAAATTGAGCAGGTAATGAGACATTAAAAAAAATCAACATGAAACTAACTACTAGTAAAACGTAAATAAAATGTCCCTTATCTTCTTTCAAATATGCCAAACTATTATAAGCTAATTTAATGCTATTTGATAAATTTCGTAAAGTATATTGTATGCTCAAACTTATTAATAATTATGTTAATTAAGTTATGTTTAATAATAATGTATCCTACTTACAGAT